TGCTGATATTGCGTAGGAACACATTGAAATGGTGGAAAAGCGGGAAATTAGTCGAGTGTCAAAATTTAAGAATACAGTTTCTGTGGTTGAAACTTTGAGATGAACTTTTTAATTAAGAAAATAAAAGAAAGTTTCTGTTGATAAGTTCAATTTGCAGTATTGAAACTGTCGTTAAATTTCAATTTGCAGTATTGAAACTGTCGTTAAAATGGTTAAAAAGTATGTTTATGTCTCTTAAATTTAACAACTGTGTGTTGACCTAGAAGTCGTTGAAAACCCAATGACAATACGCAGAGGAATTAGGCATCGCGGTTTTCTGGTGAACCGCAAATGTATTTCAAGTACTTTAATGCTCGAGTGCTCTAACATTTGCTCTTTGGAGGGTTTTCCTCTCACCCCATTTAGGGGTTTTCCAGCGATTTCACTTCGCATGAAACCCAGACCGCAAAACTCAAGTATAAAGGGGAAATGTTTGTGCTTACATATTTAGATGGGGTTATCTATGGGTATGATATGCATATGTTTATACCTACATACATGCTATATATATGGCGAAAGCAGGGCGCGTCTGTTGTCATGATGCAAGTTTCCATCTGCAGCACCCCCTGGTCCTCTTGTTTTGTTATATTTTTCATTAATGATGTAATTTGGTGTCATTGTTATAAGCGGCAGCGACAACAAACTACAACAATGCATCGCATTTCCTACTTGACAGCGGCGTCAGTTTGTCATTGCATCAGTTTGCCAGTTTCACGGGAGTGCTGGCGTCTACACTATACAAAAATATACTTATAACCATTGTATAATGCTTTTTTAGCTACTTGAAATTTAATTTAATTTATTTGCAAGTGATACAGAAATAACCAGGGGTTAAAAAGCACTTATAAAGGTGTTCCTAAGTATGCAGTGAAAAAAGAATCACTTATGAAGGGGTTCCAAAGTATGCAGTGAAAAAAGAATCGCTTCTGGAGGTGTTCCGAAAAAAAAACGAATTTCATTTTCAATTTATACCTACATTTTTGTACAATATATCGTTACATACTTTTAGACACCTCTATAATGCATATAAAACCCCTAGTAAGATCTGCGGTTCCGCATTTCCCTCAATACCACCTAAATTCAATGAAATATCTTTAAAATATCTAAATTTTCTTTCTCTGCAGCATAACACAATGGGAATGGGAAAATTACAGCAGGCTGGTCCGCCCTTCTTGGTGCTGAAACTCAAATTAATTAACATTTTGCTGCTCTCATTTTGCAGCAGCGGCTGGAGCAGCAGCAGGAACTGCAGGATTAGGCAGTAACTTACGGCAGCTGTGCGGCAATTTGCATTTGCCAAACTCCGAAATGAAGAAACAGCAGTAGAATATTAAAGGACATAGAGTTGGAGGGAAGTAGGGATACGAAAAGAGAGAGTTTGCCTTCCTCTTCCAGCCAAGTTTAATTTTCTACGCCAGAAACTTATTGTAAGAGAGATTGGAATTTTAAAACGGAATCAATTAAAATTTTAATCTTTGAGATTTTAAATCTCATTTAAATGCGCCTACAAATATGCTATGCAATTTTAAGTGGTTTTAAATCACTTATATCAATTTTTACTACAAATACCAATTACATAAATTAAATCAATTGAACACCTCACAGAAAATAACTATTCAAATGGAGCTGTCTGGAATTTTCCGGCCACCTTACCCCAAAGATTTTCCCCAGAGCTCACCTTAAATATTTGCAAACGAAGTCTAAGCGTAATCCTAGATGAAAATCTTTATATACATTTCCTTTGTGGATGGCGTGTGGACTGTAAGCTTTTGTTTTGTTTATTTTAGAGGCCACAGGCGGTGGAAATATTTGAGCAAACAATTTCTGGTTAATAGGGAAATGGGAAATGTAGGGGCCAAGAAAATACGAGCTGGAATAATAGGGATACGGTGGGTGAAATGAAGCCGGTGAAATGTTGTAGGGAGGAAAATGGCTTTAGGCTATGGGCCACCTGTATACATATACGTATACATTCCCATCCTTTCAAGGACATTATGGCAGATTCAGTCCCACAAATCAACGTCATCTCTTTTCCCATTTCCACTCGCATTTCCCCATTTATTCCTTTCCATGTGCCGCCTATTGTTTCGTTTCCCCCTTTAAAAAATCTCCAACTCCTTTTTCTGCATCTTTGCACTCAGCTTTTTCCGGCTTTCCATCCTTTCCTTGCGTTTTTTCACTGCAAAATCAGATCCTTAGGCGAGAAAAATGGGCGTGAGCTGCACATAAATTTGCATTTTTTTCAAAGGAAATTTGCCATTTTAATTTGCCTAATTTACTGCGAAAAATCGCAAACAAATCCCGTTTTTCGTACCCTCTATAAGAACGCCACGTTTCACCAATTCTCCCTTTATTTCCTCGTTATTTTCCTCTCATTTTTATTACGTCTTATCCCATGACGTTTTATGGCCATCAAAATCGCATAGGACGTAAAAGAAATAAAAAGCCAGAGTGTGGGCAAAAAGAAAGTTTGCACATAAAAAGGGTTGAAAAAAAGGAGAGGGAGAAAGTCTGCTGCGAAATTAATGAATTGATTGATTGATAGAATGATTAATAGGTTGCCAGAGTGGCAGGCAATAGGACATCAATGAAAGTTTGAAACTCTAATGTTTGACCAAAGCACATAAAATCAGGCAACTGGATGTGTTAAATGAAAATCTTTAAGATAGTTTAATAGTATTAATACTAGTTTTATGTTCTATACTAAGATAGTTTAATAGTAATAATATTTGTAATATAGATTTTCTGATCTATATTAAAATGTTGAAAAATATAAATCAACAAATAATTTTGTATATCTAATAGATGCTCCTAAAAGTAGGCAACATAAACAGAACAGGAAAAATATATAGATTTTTTTATTTATATTAAAATGTATATTTAATCAAAGCTTATGAAAGTAGGCAACCAAAATAGGACATACCTTAATTTCATGATTTTTAGAAGTACTTGCAAGGACCTTTGTTCAATTCCCAATACAAATGGCTGGTCTTTCTTGCAACTTTATTCAGATTCTCCAAATAATCAAATTAGCTGGTGTTGTGATACCCCAAAAAAACAACCCAAGAAAGCCATACACACAATCACTGAACTAAATTGAATTAAATGCAGACAGGAGGAACTTCATCCTTTCCTCTTCACGTTTATTTTAAAAATCTATGCAAAATTCAAAAGGAAAATCTGGGTGGAAAGGAAACTTTCACTGCCTGAACGGAATATGAATATTTCCGGCTTTAATATTATTATACATAGAGACAGACACACACACACACACACACACAGAAATTTGGTTTGTTCATCATCAGGAACTTTACGGTTGGTAAAAGTTTCATTTCATTGAGGCGGCCACACAAAAAATGCCTTTTTCTTGGCAAAAGATTTGTGCAAACAATTTTCAGCCACAAAGTGTGTGTCTGCACATACATAAATTGCTGCCAATGTGTGGGTGTTTGTATGTATGTATGTGTCATGTATGTATATGTATATGTGTGTGTGTGTGTGTGTGTGTGTGTGCACTTGTCTGGGAGTGTTTACAAATGTGTTTGCCCTGTAGCCATTTCAGGATCCGCTCCTTTTTCCACTTTTCCCGGGAACCTTTTCCCCTGACGTTTTGTTTACGGTTACAAAGAGCTGCCTGAAAGTGAAGCCAGGGATTACAGTAGGCACTCACTAAGTACAACCGCGAAATTCGTGCGAATTTTCTAACTACTTTCTATTTTTACAACACAAATCCTGGCCAACTTACACTTGAAATATTTAATTTAGTAAAAACTTCATTTAGAAAACTAAATGTTTCTTGTAATCAAAACCATTGTCCTATATAAAAATACATTTTTCATAGAAAATAAGAAATATTTTCTATATTGTATGTCAGAAAAGTATTCCCTTTTTTTTGATAAGATTTTTATATATAGGACCTTTCTATGTAGAGTAGGAAAACTAAACATTTAAAATGAGTGTCTTGCTAATTTTTCTTTAAGCTTTTATTTCTAAAATATTTCTACTAAGATCTCATTTTAAAAATGTTCTATAGAAACTAATATATTTCCTACTTGGAAGTAAAATACTGTCCCAAATTATTTACTGTACTCGCTCAGTCTTTTCCGCACTTTCTCCGCTTGAGTTTCTCCAGGGGGAATACCTAAAAAAAGGGACTCTCTCGGTTGCCGGCAAAATCTTGAAATGCCGTGCAGACAAATTCAATTTGTTTTCTCCTACAAAATGTTTCTTTCAACGAGGAGGGTAAAAAGTGGGCGGATAAAAAGTGAGAGAGTTCGAGTGGGAGTGGCAGATGGAAGACCAACTATGCGAAAACGGAAGCTGCACAAAAAATGCCGACAAAAAAAGTACAACAAAAAAAGCTGAGAAAGCAAATGTCGTGCCAATTGTACAGTGGGTTTAATTGAATATTTGAAAATTTTTCGTTTTTTTAATATTGCAAGAAAATTTTATTTCATTAAATACTATGGTATTTTCAAAGAATGTATCTATATTTTATAAATAAAAGAGGGAGAGAGATTATATCTTCGGCATTTCGAAATGTCAGTTTTAAGGCTACGTTTAAAGTTTTAAATTGTAATATGTTTAGGTATTGAAGACCCGAGGTCTTTTTCTAAAATTATGGCTTTTAAAAGAAGATAGTACCACTGTGCCAGGGTTGCCAGGCAACCGAAAAAAGAACGTAAATATTAAAGGAGCATTATTATGTATTCTTCACCCGGAACATAAAATATAAGTTAAGGTTAAGGTTGCAAACTGTTAGTTAATATATTTTATATGATTAAGAATTGAAGGTCCTAACGTATCTTTTTTAATTGGATGTCTTCTAAGAGAAGATGCTACCACTGTGCCAGGGTTGTCAGGCAACCAACAAAAAAAGAAGGGAAATATTAAATGAGCATTACAACTATGTATTCTTCACCCGGAACCGGCAAACTTTTTGTTGTGATTTCTCTTTTTTTCCCGCAAAAGTTACAACAACAACAATGAAAAGTCTCGTCTGCGGGGAGAAACGAAAATAACAACAAATGCAGACAACAAAAGCCACAATGAACAGAAAATGCTTAATAAAAGGGAATAGAGAAAATCAATATATTTCGGCAGATACACACACACACACAGACAGGCACACAGAGTGTTCCTGTTAGGAGTTGCCGGCAAAACTTTCGTATACGTATACGCCATGTGGTACAGTCCAAGAGCAGCAAAGGAGCGAAAGAGAAGGTGAGTTACCGGAAGAAAGAGAGGGGGAATGGTTGAAGGAGGGAGAGGGCACGATTGTTGCGCAGTAAATGCCGTTAGATAAATGCGAATACAGCGGCGAAAATTTGAATTTCCATGAATGAACAGAGAAAATGTGTGCGAGAGAGACGGGTCGAGACATCATTCAGAAAAGTCTTGTTTTTTCGGCAAGTTTCAGTTGCTTTTCCCCCCACTTCCGTTTGCTTTCCGTATTTATTTACATGTGATTGTTTGCATCTCTGTGCGTTTTCCGTGGATATTTTCATCTGACCCACTTGTTAAATCCCACAAAAATTCATTGATTAATTCCGACCACCTTTGTTGTCTTTTTTTGGGGGGTTTCTCTTTGATTTATACACATGCAAACAATAAATTTGTTGTTTAATATTTATTGTGGTTTATTTATTTTCCAAAATGATATTTGGTGCTGTTTGTGGGTTTGACAAATTAAGGATTTTAAATTATAATAGATATTTTTATTCAAAGAATATTTTAAACGCTTTCTATCAATACAATTCATATAAAATAAAATGTTTTTACGAATTTTTTGTAAATAAAAATTCCGTTTTTAAAAATGTAACTACATATGATATTTATAGAAAAACTTTTGCATTATTCTCGCGTTTTTTCCCCATTATGTCAGGGGATTTAATTCATTTAAGCTAATGTCAGGTCATGCCAAAAATATCATCTCTCGTAAGGCTATAAAGTTACTCTTTCCTGTTTGGCTTTTCCATTTGACCAACAAACTGACTCGCTTTGGAAAATGTTAAATCAAGCGTTACTGATGCAATTAAAAGGCCAAAAGGCTGTGGAGGAAATGTACAGAAGGGATATGCCCCAAAGGCCAAACAGGACAACACGAGGAGTGAAAGTGGAAAGCAAAGGGAACAGAAAAACGTTGTCGAGAGTCCACAGCAGTCCTTCACAGCAAACTGCATGTAATTGCATGGAAAATTAGCTGTGACACCGGGTGAAAGGAGGAAAATGGGGTATTGACAGGAACCAAAGAGGTGATTTCCACCAGTTAATGAAGTCCAACAGGGAGTCGAAGTCAGACAGGTAATTTGATTTTGGTTCATGCATAGTTCAGTTTATTTGCCCGCATAGGTCGCACACCGATCAATATGTTCTATATACCTTGGCGCAATCTCCACCTTTCCATCTGTCACACAACTCCAACCCCCCCTCCCAAAACAAGAGGAAAACAATTCCCTTTTTTTTGCTACTTCAGCTCTTTTTCCGTCCCATACACTTTCCCCACTTTTCCTCGGCATTTTCCATTCGTCTGTGGCGGAAATGTTGGCAGGCTACAAAAAGAGAGACAGCCACCAAAAGTGAGACAGATGCAATTTACCGGAGCACAATGGATGAGGTGAGCATTAATGCACAAATGCGACACCTGGCGTCAGGAAATTGCTAGGAAGCGACTAGTACGGAAATGGAATTGTGATCTATTGTTGCAGGCACAATTCCTGAAAGCTTTCTCCACTTGTCAATGAAAACAAAGTTAAAACAAGTTTAACAATGTCAAAGAAGTGGATAATCAAATATACAAATAATTGGCGCCCAACGTGGGACAGTATTAATAGCGTTCAGCCTTTGGCTATTTTTGACTACAAATTCTATCACGTACTATTAATGTAACGTTTAATTGTAACGTTTATAGCACCCATGCTCACTGCTAGGTGATAACAAGTATTTCAAACCAAATCACAAAAAAACGAATAAAAAATTGCAGTCACCATTTTTCATATATATGTATTTCCTCAAACATCGCAATTTCATTTCCTTTCCGCAAACAAATCTTTGCAGACTATCAATCAATGCGTATCACATGGGGGAATGCAATGATAACAACACGCAACAACAGCGACAACGCAATTCAACAACAATACCCGAGAACAACACCAATGGCATTCAACAATGACGATGTGACAGCTGTCAAAGCAGACGATAAAATCAACGGTAACAGCAGCTGACTTAAAAAGGGGGTAGACAGAAAGTGGAAATGGAGCAGACAGGCGAAATAGGGAAAAGGTGGCTATCCCAAGGACTTTCTTTATTGCCACTTCAGTAATCTTGAATCCGATACTCCCTCTATAAGTTAAATTTAAGTAATTATCTAAAAGAGCTTGATAAATCACTTGGAAAAGTAGTACTTATTTGTAAGGTTTTAAAGCGTTAAGCATCAACTAAAATTTAACGATTCAATACACATGTTATATTTATCTCTAGTTTGTAAGGTAAATTATATTCGTATTATATTGCACTCTTAAAGAAGCATAAATTCCCTAAACAACTGAATGAATTATAAAAAAACACTTCAAACCGATGTCGCATATGCAATTAACTAATCCAACTTATATAAATCTTATTTATGATCACTTCAGATTTATCAACCCTTAATTAATTGAAATTCAATGGCATATCTAACTCACAAAGTGGCGTGGAAGTGCATCCATCTTCATCAAATGTATATCCATCGAAAAATCATTTACCATTAATTATTCCATGAATTTTTGCCCTCCAAACATTTTGAGCCCTGTCTGGCAATTTTTATAACCTGCTTTAAAGGAAAAAAACTTGCAACTCCCAGAATATCAACCACAATAGCAACAACAAACAGGAAAAGCTTAAGCCTAAAGCAACTATTTCCCCCCGTTCAACGGAAATTAAGGGATAAAATGGGGGAGTTGTTTTGAAGTATATGTACTGAGTCCAAAGTGTACCCCCCTTTGTAGAGAAATCCTCGAGAAATTAGACAATTTTTCGTTAGAGGTTCAGGGTTGGTAAAGCTGGTCAGAAGCACTTTCCATCGTCATAGCGACAACAAATGCTCATCGCACCCATCATCATCATCATCATCTGAAGCGACAGCTTGGCGGGGTGGCAGACTTATAAGGGGGATGGTATCCCAGAATGAAACGGGGTGTCTGTATAAAGTTGCGTTTAAACGGATTTCTTCACATCTCAGCCCGGCCAAGGCAGGGAATTCAATTTAATTTATCAGGCGGCAAAGTAAAAGTCGCAAAGATGAAAATGCCTACACGAAGTGAAAATTCCATTTGATATACAGTCCTGATTTAAGATTATGGGACATTTGAAATGAAATGTTAAATAATATTTTGTAAGTAGTGTTAAAAATGTATGCAATATTAAATGATTCTTGTTATTCATAATTCAAAAATATGTGCATATTTAGTAAAATTAAAATGCAACGAATTTTCTTTCTCTGTGGAGTTTATCAACCCTCAAAAAGTGTTGGCAAGCGCTGGGGAATTACTTAGAAAGCAGGAAAATTGTCTTGTTCTTGGTGTATTTCTATTTTCCTTGGCTCCCAAGCAAATGCAATTAATCATTTTGCTTTTAGTGTTGACTGAAAAGTATTTTAATGCTCAACAGGGTGCACTTCAGAATGCTTGAGGTTTTTGTGAGGGGTTGAGGTTTTCCATGCCCAAATTTGTAGACAATTAAGTGTAACCACTTCAAATTTCGGCTTATAAATCCATTTGTCCCCTGAGTGGTCAAAGTTAAATAAAACATGGAGAATAGCCAATGTGGTGACCCCGACAAAACCGGAATATTTCGTTTTAATCATGTGTGCGTGTCCTGTCATCTAATTAGGCTAATTTGCATAAAGTCCATCCATTTTTCTGACCAACCATCCATCCATTCATCTATCTATCTACACACATCCCTTTTGTCAGCGTTGACCTTTTGGCTTTCCGACACATTGGACAAGGGAATTCCATTTCAGTTTGCGGTCAGTACATCTAATTCTTCTCTGGGGTTGCATGCAACTCGTTACCATACCTCACCCATCTATTATCTGCGCCCCGTTTGATTTGTTTATTTTGAGCTCGCCGGGTGGGGGCGATTGGGAAACGCTTTAAATTGCCATTTGATTAAGTTAGCATGTGGGCGATGGAATGAGCTACAAGTGAGTTAAAAAATTAACTAGGAAATTATCAAATTAGGGAGGCAATATCTGTGTGTATATTTAATGGGCCTTATTTCGTGTTAAACGTCTTGTAATCATGTTGAAAAAGTGACTATATCGCTTGATAGTTTACTCTAGGAACATTGAAACTGGAGAGGCCAGTCAAATACAAATAGATAGGAACGTTGAAAGTGAAACAAAATGGGATAACATTGATTGGATCCTCAGAAATTGCATATCACGTTTATAAAACTTCTTAAGGGAATATAAATAGTTTATGAATTTTGAAATAAGAATACAATCTTAATCTTCTTCAACATTTTCTTATCCCTTTTAGTAACTTGTTGTTTTTCTAGACATTTAAGAAAAATAAAAACACCAATTATTCTTGTCCTTCCCAATTTTCTCCTTTTCCATTACTCTGAAGTTTTCGTAATTTTCTCCGCTCCTTGCAGACAATCTTTCTACCTTCTTATAATTAATTTCTTTTCCCTTTCTCCAGTTTTTTCTCTCTTCCATTGAGGAAATGGAGCTGTTCATTAGAAACGGATCTATTACAAGAAATCCTTTCCCCATTAACTTTTCCTTGCACACAATTCAATCTCTATCCATCTCACTCAGGCCCCATCTACTATCTCGCTTGCTCTTTCTCTAATTGCAATGCCTTTGTCAGGGCCAATTGGTGTTCCACTTAGCACCTCTGCCAGAGAGGGAAAGAGATCGAGTGGCACAGGGAATGGGACAGGCGGAATGAAACAAAAAACAAAAATTAACTGAAAACGCATAGAAGAGAACAGAATGGAAATAAATTTGTTGTTGTGTGAGTTGAAGGACAGAGGCAATGTGGTTTACACTGAGAGAAACCAAAAGTTTGGTAAAACAATAATTTATTATTATAATATTTAAAATGTAAGTAACCACTGAAAGCCCAAAGGGAATATAATGGGAAAAGAACAAATATATATTGCAGTCTATAGGGTCTAAACAATAAGACATGCACTTTAAAAAGTTCAAAAAATTGTTAATATTAACTCAGGCAATAAGGCTTTAAACAGGAAAATAAAATAATGACGAAACAACAAAAACATTTAAATAAGAAAATATTTTTTACAGTGTTTTCGCCCAAGCAGCACACCAGCAGAAGCTGCAACCGAGGCAGAAGCATTTAAAAAGCGGAAATCAGGCAGACGGCATAAATAAACCGCATAGAGCCCCCCACACACACATGCACACCCAGATACGTAATACTGGTAGGTGTGCTGAAAAGAGATAGCAACAATAGAGTGCGAAAGAGAAGTTGCAGTTGCCTGGTGCAGACAGATAAACCAGAAAGCTTTGTCTTAGCTTAGTGGTCCCCACTGCTCCTCCTCGACTCTCTTCCTTTTCTGGGGGGGCTGTCAGGGGTTAAGGCCGACCTTTGTAGCAGAACGCCCCAAGCCCCTCTTCTAATCCCTGGAACCTATCTATCTTACCGTCTACATCTCCATCCAGCTGTTTTAGTGCCAGGCTAAGCGTTTTTAAATGCATTTAAATGCAGCGAGTAAGTTTATGCAGGGCCAAGTGCATGAATAAATTTGATATGGGTTGGATGCACCAAGAAAACAAAAGTGTCTTCCAAACTGTAAACAATCTTTTACATCTTTGGATCCCCAAATATAATATATCATAATATAGTATTTTTAGGATAAGGTAATATCCATCAACAGTAATCTTTTCCTAACTACCTTAAACAAACTTTTACATCTTTGGATCCCCCAAATATAATATATTATGAAATTTTTTTGGGGAAGGCACTCCCTATTATTAGTAACCTTTTCCTAACTACATAAAACAATCTTTTGCATTTTTAGAACCCGAAATATAATATATCATGATATATGTTTTGGGGGAAGGCACTTCCTATCATCAATATTCTTCTTCTAACTACATAACTCTTTTGAAGAAATATTCCGAAATGATATGGCTTAGACAATTTAAAAACTAAGCGTTGATACAATGGTTAGAAATAAAATAAATAAATAAATCCATACATGTCTGTGAAATTCATAACTCACAATTCCCTTGGAGTGTTTGCGACTTGTCTTCCCTTTGTCTTCATTTGACAATAAACCTGAATTATTTGCAACAATGAGATGGATTTCCCCCACTCTTTGCAATTCCCCCATATGCATATGCTCCTATACGTATATGTGCTGCTTGCCTAAGAGCATTATTACGACAAGTTGAGTGCTTTTCAAGTGGCAACAGACCTAAGCCCCGGAATACTCCACAATTTCTTCAATTTCTTTCAGTGGTGAGAGTTCACAGCGATGAATTTTCTTCTCTTTGGGGATTAGACATTGTCACCAAAGTGTTTGGGTGGTGGTAGACTCCCATTATTCAGATATGTACGAACCTGAAATGATAAGAGGAAAACGAAATTTAATATCAAGTGTTACCATGCATTGAACTTTAAATAGTTTCTAGTAGTTTTATGTACTTAGCCATTCGATAAAGTAAACTTAATTTGGAATAAACATCCAAGTTTAAACTAGGAGATATTTTGATAGACACCATCTTTAAACATAGCTCAAACGTTAAGAGATTAAAGAGGATGACAATGTGCTAATAATAATAATTTCTTAGAAAACATCAAAGACCACCTACAGCTTAAGTTTTGTTTACTCGAAAAAGCGGGGCAGCTGGGACAAAAGCCAAGCCATCCGACAGCTTAATCGAATGTCATGACCAACTGCAGCACAAATTGTTATTGCCTCATTATAAATAATCCAAGCCCCCGGTCCAGAAGCACCCATCCATCCACCCACCCTTCCACGTTTCCATATTCTCTTATGCCGTCTGTCTCTGTGTAATTGCTCTAAGCGTTGTTAATGTCATTTGTTGTTGCCATACGATTTAACCCCTGGAACTCTGAAACCTCGAAACCCCAGACACAAAAACTAGAGCACACACAAATATCTCAATTTTCCGGCTGGTGGTGGCAAAAGTTAGCACCAGAACATTGGAACATCACTTGGTATTGGTACAACCTGAGGCTGGAGTTTTTGGTGCAGCAATAAATTAGCATAAACCCGACACGTAGCCCACCTTGTGACATAATACCCGAAAAAAAGATATAGGGCTGGTTGGACCGCCACATATGTTGGCCT